AGGTAAAGTCAAGCAATAATGTTTTTGCTTATGAATGTGAGGGTTTTTTTTAACCTGTTACCAACTGATGACATGAATCACTGGACAATGATGTAAATATTTTTATCTAATTATTTTAATATGTTTTGAATATGTTGTTTTCTGCTTTCACAGGGAGACCATGCTTCAAGCCTTAAGGTTTGTCATCCAGGGAGCCGGATCAAAAGTGGATCCAGTCATCCGCAAAAACATCACCACCACGTTATTAGGCATGCTCGGACACGACGAGGTATGAAAACTGAATCGATCTCCGAACATCAAGCTGAAAATATTACAGTGGAGTCAAATCAAACATTGTTTCATGACTGATGCTGCAGCTTCACTACAAACAATAACTAAAAGTCAGGTAAACAAAGCGGACATGTTAAAACTTCTAAACCGTAGCTTCACAGAGGAATGCTCCGGGGAGTCGATTTCTCTCTGATCTCATGCAGAAAAACGGAAGTCAGGCAGAGGATGTGGTTTTCTAAAAAGGCGGTTTTGAGCTGTCATGTCACTGCGAATAAGGTTAACAGAATCTATCTTTGTCTGTCTGTCTGGTGTGTGTTTCTGTGTGTGTGTGTGTGTGTATGTGTGTGTGTGTGTGTGTGTGTGTGTGGACTTGCAGGATGCAACCCGTATGGCGTCAGCAGGCTGTGTTGGTGAACTGTGCGCCTTCCTGTCAGAGGAGGAGCTGAAGAGCGTCTTACTGCAACATGTCCTGGGTTTGTGTTTATTACCAACTAGTTATTCACACATGGTGTTCATGAAGTGTGTTCTGATCATCAGAAGTGTAAATATACGTGTCTTCCTCCACACAGCGGACATGTCGGGTGTGGACTGGATGGTGCGTCACGGCCGTAGCCTGGCCCTGGCTGTAGCTGTTAAGTCTGCCCCTGAGAAGCTGTGTGGGAAGGATTACTATGAGACTGTGACAGAGACGGTTTTGGCCAACGCCACAGCTGACAGGGTGAGCACAAACACACACAGCTAATCTGTAGGGAGATGTGACTCCCTGGAGTTTGAGAACATAACCATCCAGAAACACTACAGATCCATTTCTCTGTCCTTCGTTTTTCTCATGTTTCCATTCCTGACCTCCTCTCTTCACCTCCTCTAGATTCCCATTGCTACCAGCGGGGTCCGGGCTATGGGCTACCTGATGAGGCATCATCTCCGAACAGAGGGAAACAGTCAGGTTCTGCAGCGCATCGTCACACAGTTCGTTAAGGTAGGAGGTAAAACCTTGCATGTGGTAGACATTCACTTCCCTGTTCTTTATTTAAACAAGTGTAGGAAAAGTGAGAAGTGGGTTCCAAACTCAAATGATCTTTTCAGTTTAGTGTAGGCAGATGATTTAGCATTTAAATGTTTTTAAAAGAGTGAAATAAGCAGTATTCTTAATAATGGGTCAAAATTATATAGTGTTAAAGAAGTTACTATATACGACGGCGTATTAGGGCCACACGACGAGATTTTGTTTTAAATTACAAGAATAAAGTCATAATATTACGACATCAAAATCGTATAAAAATAAAGTAAGTAAAGTTTTATTTTCATTGCGCCTTTCACAGAAATAAACTCACAAGYTGCTGTACATTCAMGGAAGMGGGGAGGGGGCAGTTAAGACCGGTCATGCAGCAAACACAGTTGCGCTACCTTTTGACAAACAGAACAACAGAAAAACTAAAAACCACACAAGGGAACATGAGGAATAAAGCAGAAACATCATATTACATCAACACTGTGACACACTATGGTGTTTATGAAAAAATCTCTGCATAGAGCAAGATTATTAGCCAGAGGAGTAAGTGAGTTTTAAGGGGCCCGAAGAATCCAGTCCCCAAGGCCAGCGCAGCCAAATTTCAGAAAATTGATGGTCAGTTGTTCATTCAAAGTCATAATATTATGAGAATAGTCATAATATTACAAGATTAAAGTAATATTACGAGTTTAAACTTGTAATATTATAAAATTGAAGTCATAATATTGTAGCCTTTACATGAAAAAGCCTGCAGTTATCACTGCATTAAAATGAGGAATGTTGAGCAACTTGTCAAATTGTTCTTTAGTATTTCTTAAAATAAATAATGTTTTAGCACATTAGTATCAAATTATCAGTAGCAGAACTTGGATATTGAGCAAACGACTGTATGATAAACTGAAGCTGTATTGTAATTAATGGATGCATTGACAGATTTAGTCGTCACGTAGCTAATTTGGATGAAAGCATATTAATTTAACAGTGCCCAAGTCATCATTGACTACTTTAGAGAGACACACATGGCTGCACACAGCAGGTGTGAGGAAAAAAAGGAGGAAATGAGGAACAAGAACGACACGTCATGATTGACTTTTTTTCTCGTAATATTACGACTTTAATCTAGTAAAATTATGACTTTATTTTCATAAAATGATGACTTTAATCTCGTAATAATAATAAAAAATCTTGTTGTCTGGCCCTGATATTCCATTGTAACTATAGGCTAGGATCCATGAAAGAGTTATGACCTGCTTCTGAGTGTTTTGTTTTTAATGTCATGTAGCTTCCATGTAATAGTGTTATAAGCAGAGAGAAACTCTGAATGTGTGCGCAGGAAGATGAATGTTCTGACACCTCCCTCCACCTCCAACAGTGTCTTCAGAATCAGTCCAGTGACATCAGACTGGTGTCGGAGCGGGTGCTATGGTGGGTATTCAAACAGCCCTCAGTGGCCCCCGTGGACACCAGCCTCATCAAGCCCCTGCTGAAGAGCCTGCTGGACAACACCAAGGACAAGAACACCTCTGTGAGGGGCCAGAGTGAGCACACCATCGTCAATCTGCTGGGACTCCGCCAGGGAGAGGAAACCATGCAGGTGAGTCTTCATGTTCCAGGATTTCTACATCGCTATGTTGTCTGCACTGAAAATCACGTCTGATTTCTCATTTCTCTCAGAGTATGACTGTTATTCTGGACTCTGCCAGTAACGAGCTGCTGTCAGAGTGTCACCGCCGGTCACTGAAGAAAATCTCTGGTCTGCCCGACTCCAATGAAGAGATTGATGACACAATCCTAACGTGATGGAGCAGGATTTATAAAATAATCCAATCTGCAGAGGTCAAATCAAATTGGACTGATTTAATAAACCAATCCTCAGCAGGAGAACCCCAGACACTCAAACGCTCATCTTGCCCCGGAGAGGCAGAGATACTGTACCCCCCTGCTCATTTCCTTTTTTTTTTCTTTCACTTTAAATCCTTGTTTTAGTAACCTTTAAACCCAATTTCTTACTTGTTTCTTTTATCWTGTGATGTGCAGGTGATTCTACTGTACTGAACTTTATTAGGAAGACACAAAGCCAAAATCTGTTTGATATGACAGTGTTTTGCTAATTATTTTACTAAAATGATTTCACGCATTTAAATGCCTCTGTAAAGAACCACCTCTGTCTTTAAAATTTCTTTGGACTTTTGTTTTTGTGAGAATTGTTTGGGGAAACAACTTTCTATAAGAAGACAAATCATTCTTATCAAATTAATCTGTTGTAAAAAGCCAATACAGTAATAATAAAAAATAGATTTCATATTGTGTGWGAGATCTGGAGGAGCTATTGTCCTGACGGTTGGTGAGAGGTCACTGAGGTTTGCTTCAGACTTGACCGGTACAACATACAAACAACATATTCAAAACAAATTAAAATAATTAGATAAAAATATTTACATAATTGTCCATTAGACAGACGAGCTACCTCTAATGGCCAGAACTCTGCAGTTTTCACTCATTTACAGGCCAGCGGTCACTCTTTCAGAGATGAGGATGTTCTCATTCTTGATAGAGAGGAACGTTGGTTTGAGAGGAGTAAAAGAAGCCATTTTTGTAAAGAAAGACCATCCATCATTAAACAGAGGTGGAGGCCTCCGTTTTCAGTTGTCCCCCTCCTACAGTGCTGCTATTGCCAGTATCACTCCACTCCCTGTTAATAAGTGTTAATTAGGTGTCAACGATAGCCATGTGATGTGAGTATCAGTCACATGGAGGCAGGGCTTAAAAGCCTGAATTTTGCCTGAAACTCTCAGACTGAAGAAGTCTCTTGGAGGAGAGACGAAACGTTTCATTAGAGAAGAACCCGTCCAGAAGACCTACACAATTTTTTTCTTTTTGTTACTAATAACACTTATTTTGAGCTTCTGCTGCACCTCATTGCTGATAATCACAAGATTTATTGCCAATAAACATTGCTACAACAAAGAAATAATCTACCAAACACAAACTCCCTTTCTTTTTGTGCTATGGGAAGTAGGGGGTGCAAAAGATGTTGCAGCACCCCTGATGAATGCCGGAGGTCATGTCTAAATACATAACCTCAAGTTTACAAAACTGGAGCCCCTTAAAATTCTAAGGTTTTATTAGAATTTGTCTTTGTAAATCTTCAGTTATATGAAAAAATTGTGTAAGTAGGCAGAACAGCACTGGGTCATGATTATAAATTTATAAATATTTTCTCCAAACTTTACAGCATATTTAATGTCCTTGTTCAGTTAAGACCATACGCATTGTGCATTTCCTTGCATTTATTTGGTATTATGTTCTTCATATGGGTGCAACTCCCTGCTCTGCAACTAAAACATTCCCACATGTATGGAGAAGGGCCTTTTTTTTACTTTTAGCTCCTACATGAAACATTAGTGAAACAAAAATGGCTTGTGAAGAGCTGACACTTTTTCCAATTCTTCACAATTTTACTTAAAACCAACGGTAGTTTTAGTACACTGAGGTTTACTTTGTAATTTGGGGTTTTATGTCTGCCTCAGGGAGTGACAGACAGGTGTGTAATTACCATAGTGACCCTAATGAGAGCCACTTTCTTTCCATTTATTGCACAGTTAATCCATCAAAGTTTAGACTTTTTGTTATGTCATATTGTTATAAAAGGCCCATATTATGGTGCTTTAGAGGAGAAAGCTGGTGTTTTAGTGATTTCTGTTTTGAGTGGCCTTCATCAGAGGTCTGGGGCGGCAGCGCTGTGGCCGGAGCCTGCGCAGTGAGGCCGGCTCACACTTGGGTGCAGCTCGGCTTGAGAAGGAAGCAGAGTTTCCGGCTGTTTGCAGCGGAGGGAGAGGATTGCTGACACCGCGAAACCCCGAGGAAAAAAAAAACGCCATCGGCTCTGGTGGGCTAACTTTCAGGCGACGGGTAGTTGCTCGTTTCTTTCATACGGGGGGGATCAGGGAGCTGGTGGGTTTCTGCGGTCCAGGGGGGAGTCGAGCAGCACAGCGGCACACGGCGGGGGTTAGCTACCAGCTACCGGCATGGCCAGGGACTACGATTACCTCTTCAAGCTGCTCATCATCGGTGACAGCGGTAAGACGATGCCGTGGATGCGGGACGGGAAGTGGGCCCTGTCGTGTTTTTAGATTATTTTTTTACAGGAAGGGATGGGGAAGAACAACAGCACTGTATTTAGTGTGTTTACTGTAGCATGAACTGTTTATATATATAAATAATGAGTGAAATGTAAACCTCCGCCATGTTTTAGTGCCAGTGACAGGGCGGAGGTGTCCGGACTAGGCATGTCGGGCCGGATACCGCCTCCACACCTTCAGTTTCTCCCATCAATATTTCTCTACTTATTTTTAAATCGAGTAAAACTTTTGTGTTGTTGTCACAATAAAACCATAATTTTGACCTAAACAGTCGCTGAGGTTCTTCTGCCTCTCTCATTTTGTATTTTGAACTTGATTTTAGCGGTGTAAATGTTAGCTAGCTTAAGCTAGGCTAACATAAGTATTTCAGACTTAGCAGAGTAAACATGGGCTTCTTTTACGRCTTTTGTTTTTTCGTTTTAACTTTGGAGTGGCTTAGCTAAGGCGTTGAACTCAGTTTGCATGTGTATGTAAAGCCAATAAATGTTGGTTTTAGTTAGCTGACTGCAGACTGCTTCTCATCAGGCCAGTCAACTCAAACTGAAGTGAAAATGTCAAAGTGGTCAGATGAAGTGTCAGTCAAATGCTGACATCTGTTCAACTTTAGAGCTACTGAGTTGACTATATGTAGCTGCTTTTAACTTAAATATATTTTAAACATTTCAGACTAACTCACACAGCCACAGGTGGATCCTCGCTGTGGAGGTCTTCCTTACTGGAGGGATTGATCTGTCTCACTCAGTTGGAGATATATATAT